CCTCAAGATCTCATAAAAGCCAAGTTCTTGGCCACTCCAGCCTCTGATACCGGGGACCCCGAGCTGCCATCACCTGGCCTGCTCCCCAGCCCCTTAGGCCCCGGCACACCTGGCACCGGCCGAGGGCTCCGGTTTGGGCAAGGACAGGCCTGGTGCGCCAGAGAGCGACCGTGGCCACAGCTCGTTAGCCCCTCCCGCCACTGGGCGGTAGCCCTGGGCCAGGCCGCCTCACCTCGCGGGGGCGGCGGGCTCTTCGGCGTCTTGGCGGCTGTGCTGACCCTCTCAGGGCCGCGGCCACGGCCGCCGCCGCCGCCGCCGCCGCCGCCGCCATCCTCAGGCGTTAGCGTCGTGGCGTCATCACAGGGCGCGCTTGACGCCAAAACAAACCCCATCCGCCCTGGAAGTGGGGTGGGGGCGGACCCTCGGGAGGGCCTGGCTACCGGTTTGGGGCGCTAGGAGCGTGGCCTGCCAATCAACGCCTTCAGGGCGGGGACAGCCTCTCCGGGCGGGGGTCTAATTGTTGCTCAATGTGGTTCGACTGTACGCTGCGGGAGAAATCTGCTGTAGAAAACCTAATATAAAATAGTACTGAGTGTCGCCTTGGCTGGTTTGGCTCAGCGGTAGAGCATCACCCCCCAGACCAATGAATCGCGGGTTCAATTCCAACCAAGGGCAAGGGCACATATTTCGGTTATGTTGTCTAGGGCCCTGATCGCACATGGATGTTTGTATCTCTCCCTCTCTAGCCATTCAGTGTGAATGAATAAAAGTTATACCAAATTTTTTTTTTTTTTTTTTAAATCCTCACCAGAGGACATCTTTCCATTTTTTGTTCAGATAGAGTAGGAGAGAGAGAGAGGGAGAAACATCAATGTGAAAGGGACACATCCAGTGGTTGCACCCGCATGACCCAACCAGGGCCGGGGACAAACTGCAACCGAGGTACAGGCCCTTAGCGGGGACCAAACCCGGGTCTCTCTGGACCGCAGGCTGACGCAGCCAGGGCAGTTATACCAATTTTTTTGTCAGGTGCCACAGAATTTTAGTAATTTGTTTATGTGAGCCATGAGATGAAAAAGATTGAAAATCACTGATATAAGCTAATATTATACTGTAAGCCTGAAAATAAATTAACACCAATAAACATAATTTTGTCTGTTTTAATTAGTAGGAAATTATAAATGATTTTATTGTATTTTTAAATGTTTTTATTGATTTCTTTAGGGAGAGAGGGAGAGAGAGAGAAATAGCAATGTGAGACAGAACCAGTGATCAACTGACTCCTGCATGCCCCCTACTGGGGATTGAGCCCACAACCTGGGCATGTGCCCTGATTGGGAATGAACCAGGACCTCTCAGTCCATAGGAAGACGCTCGGGGCGACGCTTGGGGCGACACTCAGTCCACTGAGTCACACCGGCAGGGCTTATTTTATTTTTTAAAAAGAAAGAACTTTAGAAATTGCTTCCAAAAATCTAGTGTGATGAGTAGGGGTATGGTCTTTGGGGCCAAACAAACCTGGGATCATATCCTAGCTCTGATACTTCAACAGCTGTGTGACCTTAGGCAAGACATCTCCCCTCCTTAAGCCTTTATTTATTTATTTATTTATTTATTTATTTATTTATTTATTTATTTAAGAGAGAAAGAAAAAAACATTGATTTATTGTTCCACTTATTTATCCATTCATTGGTTGATTCTTGTATGTGCCCTGACCAGAGATTGAACCCACAACCTTGCAACCTTGGTGTATCGGGACTGTGTTCCAACTGAGCTAACCGGCCAAGGCTAGCCTCATTTTTCTAATCTGTGTAATGGGGATCATAATCCTAACCCCACAGAGTTGTTGTGAGGGTTAAGAGCAACATAGAAGCCCTGGCCAGTTTGGCTCAGCAGTTAGAACATCAGCCCGCAGACTAGAGAGTCCTGGGTTTGGTTCCTGCTAAGGGCACATAGCTTGGTTGCAGTTTGTCCCCGGCCCAGGTAGGGGTTGTGCGGGTGACCACCAGTTGATGTGTCTCTCTCATGTCAATGTTTCTCTTTCTCTCTCTTCCTTTTCCCTCCCGCTCTATCTGAAAATAAATGCAAAAATATCCTTGAAAAAAAAAAAGCAACATATAAAATCAGGGTCAATGGGGCTTAGAAATCCATACAACACTCCCATTTTACAGATATTTAACAAGTTAATTCAACAAAAATATATATATATATTTTTTATCCTCACCCGATGACATTTTTCCATTTTTTGTTCAGATAGAATGGGGAGGGGGAGAGAGAGTGAGAGAGAAACATCAACGTGAAAGGGACACATCGAGTGGTCGCCACCCTCACAACCCAACCAGGGCCGGGGACAAACTGCAACCAAGGTACATGCCCTTAGCAGGAACCGAACCCTGGTCTCTCTGGACCGCAGGACGACGCTCTACCACTGAGCCAAACTGGCCAGGGCTAATTCAACAAATATTTACTGAGCCTTGCTATGGGCAAGGGCTGACCTTCGTTCTGGTAAAGAACACCAGGACCTGAGGTGAAGAAGTATGTTGATATAGAGGGGACTGGACTCAGGGCATCCAGTCTCCAGGTTCTCCCCTGAACAATAAGCTGTTCCATGTCTGCAGAACTGCAAATGTAAGAAACATTGCCCCCATGATGCTCTGGCTATCAGTGTGGCTATCAGCTTACCCTTCTCCTCCAGCTTTGGGATAAAATATACAAAGCTCTTAAGCCCCTGGCCAGAGAACAGATTCTGTCCCCACCCCAACCCCATACACACACTCCAGGTCACTGAATTCTAAAGAAGAGCAAAGGATTTAGGGAGTAAACACCAGGGGAAAGTAGGTCACAGCAGGAGGATGGTAATCCCCCCCATGGCTTACCAGATCAGTCAGCCCCTGCCACTTGAAGCAGGCTGCTCTTGGCCACCCACCAAGAGTGGCTCTGGGAAGACTTTTGGGGTCTGGAGCCACAGCACCATCCCTCCCAACAGTATGCCCAGGCTGAGAGGACTGCCCCAAGATAATACATCCTCCACACTGCAGTCATTCTCAGCCCAAGTTTTTGTTGATTGTAACACTTCCAATGCTGGACTGACTTAGAGAGTCTATCTTTCATTCCACACCTCCCACAAGTACACTCTTTATACCCAGCCCTAGATTGCATGCTAGAGACATAAAAAAGACCCTTGGGGAGTACACAGACGAGAATTCTGACCCGGACCCAGACAGTAATAAGCCAGTGCTATCAGCACTGAGATAGAAGAGAGCCCACAAGCTGTGTGGACCTGCAGGAAGCTGCTGATTCAGGTTGGAGTCAGGGTTAGGGAATATTTCCTAGAGGAGGTGATGCTAAACAAGAAAGGAGTTCACCAGGAAAATGGGGAAGGGCATTCTGAGCATAAAGAATAGATGTACAAAGACCTAGAGGAATAAAAGTGTGGCCTTTCCTTCTGGAAAATGATGGTGGTCAAAGAAAGGGGCAGATCTGGGAGGGTTGTTTTTCCAAACTTACTTCCTCCTTCAGGTGATAGGAGAAGATAGGTAACGCTGGTTGGGAAAGAGAAGTGGTGATGAAAGTAGAGGCAAATAAAGCACAGGAGCAAAGATAGGATAGGTAGAGAGGGAATTAATGGAGGCATCTGACCTAATCAGAATGCAAGGGTGTTTGGGAAGCATGGATTGAAATAGGACTCCTACACATTCAGGTGGAGGTCTATGGAAGCACTTGTCACCCTAGAGCCTCTGCAAGTGTCCTTTCAGGTCTGATTCTGTCCTGTGGGTACTGCCTCCCAGGAGGGCTTTAGTATAAATCTGGCCTGCCTAGATCTGGGTTCCCACTCCTCTCTCCCTCCCTCCCAACTAATTCCTTTGGGCCCCTCTTGTAAAGCCCTCTCCAAATAAACCCTACCTTTCCCCCACTACTTGTAACTCTCCATCCTTACCTCCTATTGCCCCTATCACGCTCCTTCTCTGAAGCTACCCCTGACCCCAGGGGCTAGATAAGTAGATCACTCCTCTCCTCTGTGCTGCTACAGAGGGGAGTTGGAGAAGACTGAATAAACTGTGGGCATAGCTGGCTTATGTAGGGCCTGGTAAACAATGAAAGGGAGCTTAACGGCAGGATCAGTTTTCAATATAGAAAATGAAGAATAAAGGGGAGGGAGTGAGAGCTGGAGCCAGTGAGGAGGCCATGGCAGTGCCCATTGTGGGGTGGTGGCTTGGAATAGGATCCTGTGGTAGTAGACTGAACAAAAGATCTCACCCTCTCTGAGATTCCTCCTTCTCTCAGGATATGTCCATGCTGAACTTTGCTCTTCCTCTCCTCCAGGATGAACAGGGTCCTCTCACACCATACACCCATTCCATGCTTCCAGAATGCCTTCTGGGATTCTTTTGACTTCACATTGCACACCTCTTCTCAAAGAACAAACTTGTGGAGAGCAGAGGCCAGGGGAACCCTCACTGTGATCCCAGTTTCAGCAGCTCCAGACCACCTTGGGGACCTGAATATAGACTCCAACAGGGGCTCCCTACCTTCTGGAACAGGCTCTCCTCAGATGGATAGGCCCCCAGAGAGGGAGAGCACAGAGCACTTAGTCTGAGCTGTCTTGAAAGCTAAGGTGGTAGCTTAGCAGAGAAGGAGGTGAGATAGTCAGGAAGCTAGAATGAACCTGGGGGATGGGGGTGGCCATAGTGAGGAGTAGGGTGAGACACTCCACCATCTCACAGGGATCCTAGAGGCTAGGAATACCAACCTGGGAGAACAGATCACTAGAGGTCTTGGAACCTGCACGAAATGGAAAGCTTGGCACTGCCACTGGGAAATGAATGTTTGCAAGAAGATGGAGTCCCCTGTGTGGCGGCCTTGGGCACTTCCCATTCTGTCTTGGGAATCAGATTCTGGAGGGCTCCACCTCAGTTAAGCAGTGAGCAGTTAGAAGAAAAGAAAGAGATTAGTACAAATATAAATACCTTTAATGAAAGCTGAATGCACCCTGCAGAGCTTTGAGAGCGCAGCCTCCAGAGCAGGGGTGGCAGTAGGGGCACTGCTACCTGACCCCAATAGCTAGGCCAGAGGCCCGAGGAGGCAAACAAAGGCCAGAGCAGTTGCTAGCAGCAGGGGAGCAGGGGCTGAGGTTGGGACAGATGCTGTCGCCCACAATGTCTCCTGGTTGGTCTCAGAGCCTGCACCTTGCTCCCGGACATGCACAGGGGCGCTACACAGAATGTGCAAGTTATCTGGATGCGGGGTCCGGCGAGCTTCTTGCTGTAGTGACTCCCACACGGCAGCTGCCTCCTTTGGGCAACCCGACAGGACTCGAGAGGTGCAGGTGTGGAAGTCATTCCAAGACCTGTTAAGGGCTCAGGGTTAGAGAAATTAGGTGGGATAAAGAGGCTTTGGAATGGGAAGGAAGAGGTTTAAGCACAGAAAGTAGTGGGGGTCAGGCTGCTGCCCCTGCACCTGCTCTTACCTGCAGATGGTCTCCAGCTCACCTCTGTGGCCCATGCCATCCCCCAAGCGGATGAGACACTTGGCGAAGCCCTGGTATATGTTGTCACAGCGGCTTGGGACCTTGGCCGCTGCCTCCAGGGGAGATACAAGGACTGGGGGTGGGGATGGAAAATAATTGATAGGATGAGCTGGCCGACCTCCCAACCTCCAGGGGCTTGTTTACCCTGACATGCTTTGGGGACATGACTCAGCATGAAAAAAACACCCCAGAGAAATAAGGGCACATCTGGGGATCACCTGCCTGGACTGTTCTAGATGGGACAGAACAGAGTAAATGTGGCCCTGGCCGGTTTGGCTCAGGGGTTGGAGCGAAGGCCTCTAAACTAGAGTGTCCCAGGTTCGGTTCCCGCTAGGGGCACGCACCAAAAACAAACAAACAAAAAAACAAAACAGAACAGAGTAAATGTGGAAGAGGAGGAGGTAGGTGTCCTCATGTCCTAGGGGTCAGCTTTTCCTTTGAGCTTCTGGGGCTTCTGTAACCCCAAGTCAGGAGAAGATGGTCCAAGTGAAGGAGCCAGGGCAGGGCAAAAGGGGACAGGGTGCAGAGCCACACTCTTCCTCCCTACCACCATCCAATCTCTCTGCAGTCTGGACAAACTTTGCTTGGCCTCCCCACACCATCAAAAAACAGATATATAATTTTTTTTTAATCCTCACCCGAGGACATTTTACCATTTTTTGTTCAGAGTGGGAGGGAGAGAGAGAGAGAAACATTGCTGTGAAAGAGACACATCGAGTGGCTGCCACCTGCACAACCCAACCAGGGCCAGGGACAAATTGCAACAGAGGTACGTGCCCCCAGCGGGAACTGAACCTGGGTCTCCCTGAACCGGTCGTAGCTCTAACCTCTGAGCCAAATCGGCCAGGGCTAATTGTTTAATGTTTTTATTGTTTTTTTTAGACAGAGTGGGAGAGATAGAAATATCAATTGGCTGCCTCCTGCACACACCCCTACTGGGGATCAAGCCTGCAACCCAGGCAAGTGACCTGACCAGGGATTGAACTGGGATCTCTCAGTCTATGGGACGATGCTCAATCCACTGAGCCACACTGGCTGGGTGCAAAACTGGTATTTTTGGATAGAGCTGGATAGAGGGTGTTGGGATCCAGGCCAGATCCTAACAGAGGACCTCAGGGAATCCCAAGCCTGATCAAGGAGTCTTGCCAAAGGCCACATCTTCCCTTTATCTGAATGGGGACTGCAAAATTTTGAGGTCCTTCCCCTACAACCAGGGCTCAGTTCACACCCCTCACTTTCAGTTCTCAAATCACCGGTACACATTATCCCCTTCCTGGAGACCTTGCACCTCCTTGCTACTCTGGCTCCCAGCGCTTAGGAAGGCTGTGCCTCAGCTCCCACACACCCTAAACCCAGTCTGATGAGAGGATGTAAGGCCCTGGCTGGTACAGTGTGCCTGCACTTACCGAGTGGTAGTAACAGCAGTAGCAGCAACAGTTGCTGGCAGTGGCGACAGCAGCAGCAGAGCATCATTCTTCGCTGGCAGCCTAGTGTGGGAGCTAGCTGCTAGGAGTGCAACCCTTTAGCACAGCCGCCGGGAATGAGGGACTGTGATTGGATGGGAGCTGGGGGCGGGGCTTCAAACCAGCAGACAGCCCCGCCACAAGTATGAAAATCAGTAAGCAAATTCGCAAAGGAGAGGGATCCTAGAGAGAAGAGCCCAGGAGATCAAGAAGAGCCCAGGCTAAGCTGACCCCAGGACCCTCACCTCAGAGATGGAGAGGGGAAATCTAGGAAGCCAGTTGCCCAGATGAGGGTGGGTGTCCAGGACCCTGGAGTGGGTTGGCCTTGACAGAGCTCAACATGGAGAAAGGAGGCCAGGGAATAGAGGAGCAGTTATCAAAGTCACACCAAAGACACACCCAAAAGCACACATACTCCATTTTATTCCAAAATCATTTAATTGAATTTCTTAATGTTTTTCAAAAACAAAAAGATCCAAAACAGATAAAAAGGAACATGGAAAAGTTAACTCAAGTGGTGTCACAATCTCGCGGGGCGGGGGGGGGGGGGGGGGTGTCATGCTCCAGGCATGGCAGAACCCAAGAAGGCACAATACCCACCCTGGGCCCAGCCTAAACCTGCTGGCTACCGTAACCTATAGACCACAACCAGTGCTCATCCCTTCAAACACCCCAGAGGTGGAAGCCTGAGGAGGTAAAGGGCAGACATGACCCTGCTTTGGCCCAGGCCTGTCTACTGGCCTTCAGTGCCACCCTACCCCTGGGCAAGGCAGGCTTAACTAAGGGAGACTGGGGGTCACAAGGCCATGCAGCATGAGACTGAGACGCCGGGCCGCTTTGCTAAGTGAGTTGTGTGGTTCAGCCTGCAGGAACTGGAAGAGCTTCTGGCGTACCTGGGCCATGACAGAGCCCATGTGATCCCGAGTGATAGGGTCACTGTGGTCCAGGTGCATCACAGCCTCTTCCAGGTAGCTGGGGGTGGAGGAAAGGTATAGTCTACAGGTTGGGCCCCAGCAGATGGGAGCGCCCCCTGGCAGTACTGAGGCCCAGAGAGATGGCTGACAAGGGAACCCTCCAAGCCTGAGATGGGAGGTTGGTGGAGAGAATTAGGGAGGAAGTCAGGCTATAGTGGGAGTCTCTGCTTTGAACTGCTCCCCGACCCTACCCCAGCCCATCTCCTGGTCCAACTGCGCCCACACACCTGAGCTTGAGGTCAGTTCGAGTGCCAAGGTCAGAGGCCAGCTGCTGAATAAGGGAAAGGAGCACAGGCTGGGAGAGTGGGCAGGGTGGCTGCCCAAAAACCTGTGCTGGGTCCACAGTTTCACAAACATACAGCACCAGGTTCAGGTCAGCAGCTGTCAGGGCCTGGGTAGAGAATAGCATTTAGTGTGTGGGCCTTGTCAGGAGACACCTGAGCCTTAACTGGGCCTAATGTCCTAGTATACCTGCTGGAAGGCCTGATTGAGGTGGCCCTGCTGCAGCAGCTGCAGGATATGGGCTTGCTGGGCCTGGCAGTCGAGGTGGGCAGCAGGGACAGGTGTGCCAGCAGCTGAGCGCATGGCCTGCATGATGCTAGAGGTGACGGCGGCCTGTTGCTCCTTGAGTGCCACACTCACCTCACCTTTCACAATGCGCTGTACCTGTGCTAAAATGGACTCCTGCAGGCTGCAAATGGAAATGAGGGAGATGAAGTAGGTAGAAAGTTGGGTCTGGCCCTTCCAAACCCCACCACCTTACCCAGTGCCCTACCCACACACCTGCCCACAGCCACATGCAGCTGGTGCTGCACCTCAGCCCGAACACTGCTAGACACAGTGGCTGCCATCTGCTCAGTGGCACCCTGCAGTGTGCTGACCAGGCCCCGCAGCTGAGCCAACACAGGCTCCCGCGCCTCCTGCTCTCGCACTTTCCGGCTCTTCATGTGGCTCTCTAGCTGTTGCAAGTCTGAAAGGTGACCATAAGGGCCATGAGAAGGAGGTGGGGGAGAAAAGGACAGCTCTTCCATGGAGCATATGACTCTACTCACATTCCTGTGTGCCCAGTCGGAAGCTATCATTGATCTGCTGGAACATGGCCTGGCAGCTCTTCTCAAAGGCGGGCAGCACCACACTCTGGAAGGCTTCACGGTAGGCGGCCTGCATTGGCCCCTGTAACGTGTCTGCAGCTGCTCGGGCGATGGCATCTGTCAAGTTCTGAGGGTAGAGGGAGAGGCCGGGCCAAGCCAAAAGCCTGAGCTCAAGCTGGCCTGACCAAGCCCACCAACCACCAACCTCCCTCATCTTTGACCCTATAGCACCTTGGACTTCAGCAGCTTGGAGATATTCTCTTTCATGCTACCCTCTACAGCTGTGAGCTTGGTGGCCACTGAGGTGTTCAGTTGACCTGCCATAGGCTCCAGACTCCTAGAGACACCTGGGGCAGGGTGAGGAGGAAGTGGTAAAGCCACAAGAGGAAGTTTGACAGGTAGAGGGTCCCACTCCCACCCAGCCCATCCAGAAGTCTCCATGCAAAACTCACATGGAGGCACTGTCTTCTTGATCTCATCCCGTATGCTGCGCTCCAGTCGCCCAGCCACAGCTGAAGACAGTGCCTGGGACAGCTGTTGTGTCAGCTGTTCCTGCAGCTGCCCACCCCGTTGCTGCCCCTCGGCCAGTGCCCGCTCCAATCGCTGCTCTGTATTGTAGCTAAGGAACAGGCCTGTAGCAGGTCCCATTTCCCTTCTTGGCTCAAGAATGCTGTAGCTGCCCCTGCCCCTCTTCCATGCTGAGCCACTGCCCACAAGGATACGCTCCTGTTCATGCCGAGACTCGAGGGCACGTTCTACATGGCCCGTGACAGTGCTCTGCAGGCCTTCTAGTTGGGTGCACAAACGCTGCAGCAACTCTTCTTGGCTGTGCCGCAGCTCCGCCAGCTCTCTCTGCTGTTGCCAAATTAGTGCTGGCCAGTCCTCAGGTGGCTCTGCCACCTGCCAGTAGCACCAAGAGTTACATGATGCCTGCCCCACTTGTCCCCACACACTAGACTAGGGAATGGCTCAGAGCTCTTCCCCACTCTGAGAGGAGTCCTAGAAGTAGAAAGGGTGTTTGCTCACTCACCTGATGCTCCATGAGCCGGGATCCCATGGCTGAATCCCTGCCATAGGTGAGAAGGACCTCAGGCCATGTCATGCAGGTAGCCTGAGGACCACCCCTCTCCCTGGCCTCAGGACCCCTCCTACCCATCATCTTTTTTGCCCTTCCTCTTAAACTTGGGTGAGGTCCGAGGGGATCCCTTAGTTTTCCAGTCCTTGGCAGGGAGCCGTGGAGTGGGAACTTTGGTGCCAAAGCCCCCTGCAGCAGAGGCAAGGCTGGCCACCTCATCATCGTGGTCACTGTGAAAAGGGGAGAGGCATAAGCACCAGATATCTGCTGGCCCTCCCTTATGAGAGAAAGGGTGTGGGGTGGCATCTACCTTTGTTCAGTGCTGGTGTCCTGGCTGTCATGTTGCTGCAGCAAATGATAAGGTGGTCGGTGGAAGGCCAGGTTCTTGTGCTTTTCCTGAAGGCCATTCCTGGGGCTGGGAGGACAGGCCGATATTCAGCAGTGGATGACTATCTGAAGCCCCTACCATCAGTACACTTTCTACCATCCAAGCTCCTCACCTTTCTGTAAGGCTGCTGCAGGTCTCCCGAGTAATGTCTGGTGCTGTAGGCCAGACCTGACTGTCAGGGGCTGTGGTCTCCTGGGTCAAGGCTGCCTCCAAGAGTGAAGGGGTGCTATGCCGATCCCCGTCCCCAGGGCCAACATCCAGGCTAAGTTGGGGGCCAAGTTCAGGCCCTGGCCGGGGCCGTGGGGACAGCAGGTGTAGTGCTGAAGCAGCTGAGGCCATACTGTTTGGCTCAAGGTCCTCAGGAGCAGAGGAGCTAAAGCCTCGGGAAAGGGCCTCAGATGCAATCTCAGGGATGTCCTGGGACAGGGCAGTGGATGCCGAGGAGATAACATCGGGGGAACGGGTACGGCTGGGGGAAGCCTGGGGTAGCCCCAAGGGCTCCACTTCCTGTAGCTCCAGGGACAGTGCAGAGACAGCAGTAGGTACCTGAGGTGGGCCAAAATGGGACTTAGGTGGAGGGAAACAGGGGTGTGGGAAGCACAGAGATGAGGACTGGTGTTTATAGTGATGACAGATGGGACAGTGGGAAAGGGGATGTAGTCAAAAACAGCCACAGCTCAGGAGGAGAGAAGGTGGGAATGAACAGGGTGAGGAGCTGCCCTCTAGGGAACATGGGAGGCTGAGATGACTTCAAGGGAAACATGGGCCATCTGACGCAGAACAGGATAAGCAGACAGGGTGCTACAGGAGAAGACTGCTGCCAACCTTCCTGCTGCTACACACCAGCTAAACCTGCATTTCACACACACGCACCTGCCCAGGCCCTTTGGGAGTCAATTTGTCAGCTGGACCTGGGAGCAGGCCAGGCAGGAGGCTGCGTGGGCTTGCCTGCAGGCTGCTGCTGCTCATTGTCAGACTGCCATCCAGCTGCAGCTTGGGGCTCAAGGTCAGCTCCTCAGGTGGCCTGGTGGCAGGAAGGCTGAGGCATAAGCAGCCAAAGTTTGGCATCACCTGGCACCAGCCCTTGCCATCCCCCAACTCTGACCCTCACTTCACCTGGGCAAGGAGGGGTCCACAGCTAAGGTACTGCTCATGGCAGATGCAGCTGTGAGAGAGGAGCTGCTGCTGCTGCTGCTGCTGCTGCTGCTGCTGCTGCTGCTATTACTAGGGGATGCAGCAATCTGGGGAGATGCAGAGAGTAAGAGCTGTGGCCTGTGTGTAGGGATTCCCAGGTCTCCTGACCTGAGCCCCAAGCCCCAGCTCCAGCACACCTGTTGCAAGGAGGTGCTAGGTGTCATGAAGGCGTCAGGTGTCATCAGCTTGGGCTTGGTCTCACTGCTCAGACTAAGGAAGTCAGCAGGTGCAGGTAGTTCCACGATGCGTCGGAGATCAGGCTGGGAGCCATGAGTAGCTGAACCCAGGCCCTCAGAGCCCAGTTCAGGCCGAGATTCTCCAAATGCTGAAGGA